CTCAAGATGGAAGGCTCAAATTGGCTCTAATATTGGTTATTGTGATTCAAGGTTTGCATATTTTATGAGCTCATTAGCATAATTGAATGTCTCAAGATGGAAAGCTCAAATTGGCTCCAATATTGGTTATTGTGATTCAAGGTTTGCATATTTAATGAGCTCATTAACAAAATAGAATGTCTTATGAAATGAAAGGCTGAAATTGGCTGCAATATTGGTTATTATGATTTGCATATTTAATGAGATCATTAGCATAATTGGATGTTCTACATTTAGATTGTGGCAAAATACAATTTGAGAGATGACTATGTTATCTTTTCAGTGACACTTAAACACTAGAGGGCAGTTCTAAATGTATCATAAAATCTGTATTAGGAGCTGCATCTACAATAAAAGCTGCACCCATTCTTTGTGAACAATTGAGAACCAAAAAAATCACCTTTTCTATTATGTCTAATAGTATTGCATTGTACTCTTTCAATAAAAGCTGTTGCTTCTAATACCAATTTTGCAATATTAAATGAACAATCTCCCTCATAAAATTCAATGGGAGATTTCTTGTAGTGCTTAGCCACATCTTATTTAACAAAAAAAACATCACTAATTTGTCAATATAGTGAAATATTACTTTTGTTCATCCCATCTCCTTAAAGGCAGAATGTTGGTATTCTCTTATTCTCCGTCAGTTGCTACATGCGTAAACAGTGTACGTACATGGATGATATTTTAGATATATTGACCTGGGCCAAAGTCAATATAAAATTATTCACATTGAACATAACTCTGCCCAAGTGATACAAGATGCCTTGTTCAGCCGAAAATGTCAGTTGTTCGACCTGTTCATAAATTATAAACACTGACAAACCTCATTGGTGAATCGATCATAACGTCTGCACAAGCGCAATAACTAAATATTACGTTTTTGACTGCTGAGAAGACAATGCTCTAATATATCCACCGCCAAATGCATGAATCTGATTGGCTGCTAAGGGTATGAGGTTATAATAATATAAAACGTTTATTTCAGTACGTTGATATTGGTGAACCGAAAGATATAGCTGACGAAGTGTTAAAAATGTTACCAGATATACAGTATATAGATGATATGCAGCTCAAGGTATGTGCATATGTAATTCAATTGACTGATATATTGACAGTGTTTTTGATGGAATGCAAATAAATTCAAATCTAGTTGGTTGAATCTCTGTCAGATAACCGGCATTCAATTTTGTTGTTAAATACTGTAAATGTCTTATTTATTCACTGGGTTTTATTTTGGCTTTTTTTTCGTTGATAAGTAAAATCATCTTGAATATGTAAAATTACAAAACACTGGCAAATTTGTGAGCTTAACTTTTCCACCACCAGTTCCCTCTTTTAATCGCAATGTAGTGTTTATTGTCTACACTTTCCTTCAGAAGATTGGGACAAAAATAGCCAAAATGTTTTGATTAAAAACTGAATTTTGACTCAATTTATTTTCAGTGATTTTTGACAAGTTGAATGTCAAGTATAGGAAAAAAATAACGAAAATTAATTCCAGGCGAAAATATAGTATTTTACAGTACTTAATTTGTACTTTCTCAAGTTGCAAGTACATGTATGAAAATTTGTTTATTTCTTTATGCAGGCAATTCGTAATAGTAGTGAAAGTCCCTGGCTTGTACACTTTGTTGCCAATAGTGACCAAGTTGAAACTGAAATGAGAAAATTACCATATTTACTGGATGAAATCAAAGTAAGTGCGTTTCCCGATATTATGATATTTGATGGTTGAAAGCATGTTATGTAGCATGTATTTCTACTTTATATAAATATTGGATTGTTCATGTAAATTTGACCTATCCTTGGAGGCGGAGCTATGTCACTGGACGTTCCATGTTGCTAAGACGCGCAGCATTGTACCGTGTATTTCTAAGCGCTATGTGAGCTCCTGTGGAACGCCGATTGAAGAGCCGATGAAAATAGCTAAATTTGAGAAAACAACACAAACTCAACTTTGAAGTAATCCTGAACAGCTAAATTTATATATGTTGCACATGCAGGAGTAATCTATTTACACTGTTCCAAACTACCGTTTTCTGAAAGTTTTCGGCTTTTATTTTTCACCGTGATGGTTGCATGT